CATCAGTCCTCTGCGCCAGAGGAGCTTACACTCTAATGTCCCCTCCCCCGCAGTCACATCAGTCTCCGTACCAGAGGAGCTTACGCTCTAATGCCCCCCCCCCCGCAGTCACATCAGTCTCTGCACCAGAGGAGCTTACGCTCTAATGTCCCCTCCCCCGCAGTCACATCAGTCTCTGTACCAGAGGAGCTTACGCTCTAATGCCCCCTCCCCCCGCAGTCACATCAGTCTCTGTACCAGAGGAGCTTACACTCTAATGTCCCCTCTCCCCCGCAGTCACATCAGTCTCCGTACCAGAGGAGCTTACACTCTAATGCCCCCTCCCCCCAGTCACACACTATTATGATACATCTCTATAGCTCTGACATATACTGTAGCGCCGTACAGACACCACTGAGGGACTCCTGCAGACACCAGGGAGATAATTATCTATACAATGACGCCCCCTCCGGGCCTTACCTGCCTCCCCCAGCCCGGTTACCCCACAATTCTGTTCCGGGTTTCAAACTACCCGCGTATACGTTTCATTCCCCCCTCTGACGTCATCACCAACTTCCCCTGCACTCAGATCCGCCATCTTTGTGCCTGGCAATAGTTAGGGCAAGAAAGGAGGGAGGAGCGGAAGTCGCTTTGCTTCTGGAAGTTCCGGAGAAAAGAGGGGCGGAGCTAATGTCAGGTCTTGGAAGCCCAGAGCCGCCGTGTTTGTCATGGGCAAAGGTAAGGGCAGAGCCGCAGCGCAAGACTATCCGCCCGGCTCCGTGCCCCGGTGATGTGCAGGATGAATGAGAAATAATAGAATAGTATATAATAAATAATGATATCATAAACTAGTATCATAATAAAAGATCAGAATGTGTTTATTTGCTGATTGAACACTTAGTTCTGTGATTCGATGTCAGGGCAGGTATATCCATAGATGGGCATTGGTGGGAGGGGGTCAGGGAGGGCATAATCCATAGATGGGCATTGGTGGGAGGGGGTCATGGAGGGGATGATCCATAGATGGGCATTGGTGGGAGAGGGTCAGGGAGGGGATGATCCATAGATGGGCATTGGTGGGAAGTTATCAGGGCGGGGATGATCCATAGATGGGCATTGGTGGGAGGAGGTCAGGGCGGGGATAATCCATAGATGGGCATTGGTGGGAGATGATCAGGGCGGGATAATCCATAGATGGGCATTGGTGGGAGGGGGTCAGGGTGGGGCAAATCTATAGATGGGCATTGGTGGGAGGGGTCAGGGTGGGGATGATCCTTAGATGGTCATTGGTGGGAAGTTATCAGGGCGGGTATGAACCATAAATATGCATTGGTGGCATGTTGTCAGAGGGCATGGTGGGATGATCCATAGATGGGCATTGGTGGGAGGGGGTCAGGGGGACCCAAATTAGGTGGGGGAAAGGGTGTGCACTAACAAGGGTGCTAGGACATGGCCAGTAGGCAGCTGTACATTGTATAAAATGTTGTTTATTTTTTTCAATCAATGTAAGAAACTCAATCATTGGAGGAGGTGCGGATGAATGCCATGATTGCCCCCCCCCCCCCCCAATTTCTGGATTTGCAGCCTAGGCCATGCCCTGCTGTCTCCTGGTATAACTGTGAGGCGGTGTGTTATGTATGTGCGCATGCACGGGGGACTTGTGCACATGTGGCAGCCTTTGTGCGTACGTGCAGAAATCCTGCCATGCATGCACATATGCACCGCCGGTCTCCACCGGGTCTCAGACAGCTGGAAATCAGTGATGACACTAGCAGTACGCGCATGTGTACGTATGCGTACAGAAGGGGCGCCCTTTCAATCGGCGCAATTTAGTTCTGCTTGAATGAAAGTTCAGGTCCCGAATCTGAACTCCAATGAAGGTAATGTGAGAAAAATGTTGGAAAACCCATATTGCTCATTTTCTAGGCTATAGAAAAAGAATTGCCAAACAAATGGCATCGGCACTGCTAAAGCAAAAAAAGTAAATAGTTTGGTGGGGAGCAGGGGTGGACTGACAACTCATGGGGCCCCCCGGGCAATAGGGGATCACGGGGCCCCTGTATCCTCGCTCACACTAAAACCACACCCAAAAATGCCTATGAAAGGTACCAGGGGCATCTCATGGGGCCCCCTACTGACCCCGGGCCCTCGGGCACTGGTGAGGAGCAGCGATTTTATTCATGCTGAACCAGTTCCCCACCTCCCCATAGCAGAAGTACTGCTACAGGGCGGCAGGACTGCACAAAATCACGTATATATATATATATGATTTTGTATTTCCAGGTAGCCAGTGGCGGCTACAGATGTCGATCACCGGGTCCGATTTCCCCGTCGGCACCTGGCGATCGCCAAGGAACAGCAACAGGGAGAGGTTTGTGCATAAACAACACAGACCTCTCCCCTGTTAGCACCGACATGCTGCTTTGTATAGCAGCATGCAATACACAGCGGAGAAATACAAAGCAGCATGTTTCAGAGGCGTCCCTAGGGTTGGTGTCACCCGGTGCAGTAACATTTGGTGACACCCCCTCCGACGATCCCCGCAGAATGGATCGGATCTGTGGATTGAGCATAATGGATCGGAGTCCAATCCATTATGCTGAATCCACAGATCCGATCCATCCTGCGAGGATCGTCGGCTTACAACCTATACGGGGTGACACAGGACCCACTCCAAGAAAAGGTATGTTGTAAAGGAAGCCGACGATCCCCGCAGGATGGATCGGTGTCACCCGCTGTGGACCGCACCCCCCGTACCTGCTTCGTAAAACGCCACTGGCATGTTTACATAGTTAAAACAGCACACAGTTAACCCTTTGATCACTCCAGATGTTAACCCCTTCCTGCCCAGTGCCATTAGTACAGTGTCGGTGCTTTTTTTTTTTTTTTTATAGCACTGATCCCTGTCGGTGTCACCTGGGTGACAAGTGTCAGAATGCCTGCTACATTCCCGCTATAAGTCGCTGATTGCCGCCATTACTAGTATATATTAAAAAAAAAAAATTCCAGTATCTATACCGACCATGGGCGGACACTGACAACTCATGGGGCCCCAGGCAATAGGAATTCATGGGGCCCCTGTGCCCTCGCCCACACTCAAACCACACCCAAAAAAGCCTATGAAAGGTACCAGGGGCATCTCATGGGGCCCCCTACTGACGAGTGTCTAAATGGTCCGTCCGTCCCTGATACCGCCATTTGTAAACGCTATAACTTTCACGTAAACCAATTAATTTGGGGATTTTTTTTTGTAGCAAAGACATGTCGCAGAATACATTTTGCCCTAAATTTATGATGAAAATTGATTTTTAAATTTTTTTTATACTGGACATGTTTTAGAGCAAAAAGTCAAAAATATTGGTTTTTTTTTCCAAAATTGTTTGGGTTTTTTTTTTAAGTTCAAAAAATAAAAAACTAAGAGGCGATCAAATACCACCGAACAAAAGCTATAGTTGTCGGAAAAAAAAGACATAAATTTTATTTGGGTGCATCGTTGCATGACCGTACAATTGTCAGTTAAAGTAACACAGCGCTGAATTGCAAAAACTGGCCTGGTGGGGGGGGGGGATACTCTGGAGGGGGAGGGGTTAAAAGGACAACATTATATTTGTAAAATTCCTGTAATTAGGATGCCTGGGGGAAGCCCTGACCCGGCCTGTGAAGTGGCATGATGTGTGATGTATACAACCTACTACAGCAACAATGCCGCGTACAAAGTCGAAAAATGGCGTTTACATTTTCGGTAAATCCCCCCCACACACACACACTTTTTTTTTTATATATATCTGAAAGTTATCCCAGTGGAGGTCTTGATAAACAGTAGATGCTAATGGAGGACCCCCACAAAAAAAAAAATTATGTGGGGTCCCCAATACTAATACAAATGGAGCCTTAATTCCTCGATGAGGGTCTGGTATGGATGTCAAGGGGGACTCCCACACAAAAATGGCGAAGACCTGCCAAACGCATGTGCACCCGAAAAAAATAAGTGTGACACCCCAAACCTACCCCTTACTGCAAAGGCAGGACCCCCACAAAAAAAAATTATGTGGGGTCCCCAATACAAATACAAATCGAGCCCTTATTCTCGATGAGGGTCTGGTATGGATGTCGAGGGGGAACCCCAACACAGAAATGGTGAAGACCTGCCAAACTCATGTGCACCCGAAGAAGTCAATGTGACACCCCAAACCTACCTCTAACTGCAAAGGCAGGACCCCCACAAAAAAAATTACGTGGGGTCCCAAATACAAATGTAGCCCTTATCCTCGATGAGGGTCTGGTATGGATGTCAAGGGGGACCCCCTCACAGAAATTACGAAGACCTGCCAAACGCATGTGCACCCGAAGAAGTCAGTGTGACACCCCAAACCTACCCTTTACTGCAAAGGCAGGACCCCCACAAAAAAAAAAAATTACATGGGGTCCCCAATACAAATTGAGCCGTTATCCTCGATGAGGGTCTGGTATGGATGTCAAGGGGGACTCCCATACAAAAATGGTGAAGACCTGCCAAACGCATGTGCACCTCAAGAAGTCAGTGTGACACCTCAAACCTACCTCTTACTGCAAAGGCAGGACCCCCACAAAATAAATTACGTGGGGTCCCCAATACAAATACAAATCGAGCTGTTATCCTCGATGAGGGTCTGCTATGGTTATCAAGGGGGAACCCCACACAGAAATGGCGAAGACCTGCCAAACGCATGTGCACCCGAAGGAGTCAGTGTGACACCCCAAGCATACCCCTTACTGGAAAGGTAAGTCCACATACTTCCAAATTAATATTTTTCAAAGCTTTATTGAACAATTGTCAGACGCCCCACCTGTCCTTCTCCTCTGATACATTTTGACAGTTTCTATATGGCGGAGTGAATACATTGTATCGGTGTGTCAATATAATATTCGATGATTAATCAGGAAATAGAAGCATTCTGTCGGATAATACGGTGAATATTTGGTCTTAGTGACCCACTGGCCATGGCCATTGACCAATTCTTCATGGTGCCAATCAGTGACCTTTATTTTCTTTCACCGGCTGATATCCTGTTAGCAGGTTTGGGAGCCGACCGACCCAGCCAATAGTCAGAGATGGCGGTGGGGAGGTAGGAGAGAGGGAGGTAGTGCAGCTTGCAGTCCCAGCCGGGTGAGTACCGGGTCCAGGGGTGGACAGCGGTTAGGGCGTGCTCCATACAATCTGAGACTTTATATGCCTTCGGGCTGGTCGATGCTGTTAGTGTTTTCAGAGCGTTGATATCTGGTGAGAACATCAAAAGTCAAAAACTCATTATGGCATGGTACTGTTTTTATAAATGTATCTATGTATACTGTATATATACACTGTATTGCCACAAGTATTGGCCCCGCCCTCCCAATCATGTGATTCAGGTGTTCCAATCCCCTCCCAATCATGTGATTCAGGTGTTCCAATCCCCTCCCAATCATGTGATTCAGGTGTTCCAATCCCCTCCATATCATGTGATTCAGGTTTTCCAATCCCCTCCATATCATGCGATTCAGGTGTTCCAATCCCCTCCATATCATGTGATTCAGGTGTCCCAATCCCCTCCATATCATGTGATTCAGGTGTTCCAATCCCCTCCATATCATGTGATTCAGGTGTTCCAATCCCCTCCATGGACACAGGTGTATACAATCAAGCCCCTAGGCATGCAGACGGCTTCTACAAATGTTTGTGAAAGAATGGGTCGCTCTCAGGAGCTCAGTGACTCCAAGCGTGGTCCCGTGATAGGTGGCCACCTGTGCAATAAGACCATCCGTGACATTTCCTGGCTACTAAATATTCCACGCTCAACTGTTAGTGGGATTATAACAAAGTGGAAGCAACTGGGAACAACAGCAACTCAGCCACCAAGTGGTAGGCCACGTCACATGACAGCCACTGGACTCTAGAGCAGGGGAGATGTGTTCTCTGGAATGACCAATCATGCTTCTCTGTCTGGCAATCCGATGGACATGTCTGGGTTTGGCGGTTGCCAGGAGAACGGTACTTGCCTGACTGCATTGTGCCAAGTGTAAAGTTTGGTGGAGGGGGGATTATGGTGTGGGGTTGTTTTTCAGGGGTTGGGCTTGGCCTCCTAGTTCCAGTGAAGGGAACTCTTAAAGTGTTACTGAACCCACAACAGTTAAATCAGTCTCTATATGTATGAAAGCATGCTTGTTATACTCACTGTGGAACCTAAGGGGGTAATCCTCTGCATTGTGTAAAAAGGCTGTTTGATCCTGTCTTCTCTGTTCCTCCCCTTTTTCAAGCGACCACCTCTTATCTACAGACTAAACCATAGCCATGCACATGCTCAGTTTGGTGTTTATTGCTAGAGAGGTTTTTTTTTTTTTCCTTGGGAGAGTGCATGTGATCAGCACAGGGCTAATCAGCACTGTTCAGACAGAGGGTCAGGGGTTCTGCATCCTCCTAGAGCAGAAAGAAAACTCCTCCTATAAGCTTTAGCTAGTGGTGGGCTGGACACAGATCCCTGCCAGTGATTGCTCACCGGCATCTGGTGATTGCCAAGGATCTCCGAAGGGGATGGGGGTAGAACTGTTAGTAAACAAAACAGTTCTCCCTGTCAGCTCCTGCACGCTGCTTTGAATGACTGTGCACAGCCGAGCCATACAAAGCAGTGTGCTTACAGTGATGCACACAGACCCCACCCCCTAGTAAAACATACACAGCACACTGTTAACCCTTTGATCGCCCCACATGTTAACCCCTTCCTGCCCAATGCCATTAGTACAGTGTCAGTGCTACTTTTTTATTAGCACTGATCACTGCATTGGTGTCATTGGGGATGTCAGTGACCCAAGTCAGTTCCCCCCCCAGTGTCAGAATGCCCGCCGCAGTCCCGCTAAAAGTCACTGATGGCCGCCATTACTAGTACAAATTATTTAAAAATCCCAGTATATACATCACCATTTGTAGATGTTAAACTTTCACATAAACCAATTCATTTACACGTATTGGGATTTTTTTTTTTAGCAAAGACACCGAGCAGAATACATTTTGGCCTAAATTTATGACGAAATGTGATTTTTGTTTATTTTTTTACTGGACATGTTTAATAGCAAAAAGTCAAAAATATTGTTTTTTTCTCTCCAAATTGTCAGTAATTATTTTCTTTTTATAGCGCAAAAAATAAAAAAATCGCACCGGCGATCAAATACCTCCGAAAGAAAGCTCTATTTGTGGGGGGGGGGGGAAAGGACTTAAATTTAATTTGGGTGCAGTGTTGCATGACCGCGTAATTGTCAGTAAAAGTAATGCAGGCTGTAACACAAAAAATGGCCTGGTCAGGAAGGAAGGGGGGGGGGGGGGGGGGGGGGGGTAGGGGGGGGGATCCTCTGGAGGGCAAGTTCATGTGCGTGTAAAGGTGGGTGGCCCTATACTTTTGGCCAGGGGCGGACTGACCATTTGGAAACTCGGGCACTGCCCGAGGGCCTGGGGTCAGTAGGGGGCCCCATGAGATGCCCCGGTACCTTTTTCTAAGGCTTTTTTGAGTTTGGGGCCAAGGACACAGGGGCCCCATGATCCCCTATTGCCCGGGGGCCCATGAGTTGTCATTCCGCCCCTGCTTTTGGCAATATAGTGTATATACTCATATGGAAGAAAAATATATTATTATACAGTATTTATATAGCGCTGACAGTTTGCTCAGCGCTGTATACAATATAATGGGAGACAGAACACGAGACAGCACAGTAACAATACAATACAATACAGGAGGGGTTCGAGGGCCCTGCTCCTTGGAGCTTACAATCTAGGAGGGAGGGGAAATATATCTGAAATATTTTAAAAAATATTCTTCCCAAATTATTTGACATATATTTGAAATGCTACAATTTTGGAGCCGTATTCAATATATAACAATATATAACAATAAAATATATATATATATAATATATATTATTACAGTATTTATATAGCGCCAAAGGGTATGCTCAGCGCTGTACATTATAGTGGGGGACAGAACATGAGACAATACAGTAACAATACAATACGCGAGGGGTTCGAGGGCCCTGCTCTTTCGAGCTTACCAATCTAGGAGATTATATATATATATATATATATATATATATATATATATATATATATATATATATATATATATACACACACACACACACACACACACACTGTATGTTGAAATGCATTTTTATTACAAAATATATGAAAAATATTATTAAAAATACATTTCAAATATACTGTATGTCTTTAAAAATAGAAATCTACAGTTTTAAAAAAATATATATCTTTTAAATATATTCTTGAGATTTTTTGAACATATAAAAAAGTCATTTTAACATATATTTGTAAAATGCATTCCAAAAATGTAGATTTGTATTTTTAAAGACATACAGTATATTGAAATGTATTTTTTAAATATTTTTCATATTTTTTGTGATAAAAACGCATTTCAACATACAGTATATATTATATATATAATACCAATACACACACACACACAACACACACACACACACATATATACACACTACACACACACACACACACACACACCACACACACACACACACACACATCATATATATATATATAATACAGTCGATAACGAAATTGTTGGCACCCTTGATATTTCTCCAGGAAATCATGTATTTCTCACGAAACGTATCTTATTGCATTAACACATGTTTTGCTATACACATGTTTATTCCCTTTGTGTGTATTGGGACTCAAAACAAAAAAAAGGGAGGAAAGAAAGCAAATTCGACATAATGTCACACAAACCTCCAAAAATGGGCTGGACAAAAGTATTGGCACCCTTTCACAACTGCGGATAAATAAGAATGTTACAATGCATGTGATGCTCCTGTAAACTCACCTGGGGCAAGTAACAGGTGTGGGCAATATAGAAATCACACCTGAAAGCAGATAAAAAGGAGAGACGTTCACTTAACCTTTGCATTGTGTGTCTGTCTGTGCCACACTAAGCATGGACAACAGAAAGAGGAGACGAGAACTGTCTGAGGACCTGAGAACCAAAATTGTGGCAAAATATCAACACAATCTCAAGGTTACAACAAGTCCATCTCCAGAGAACTAGATTTGCCTTTGTCCCACAGTGCGCAACATTATCAAGAAGTTTGCAACCCATGGCACTGTAGCTAATCTCCCTGGTCGTGGACGGATGAGGAAAAATTGATGAAAGATTGCAACGCAGAATAGTCCGGATGGTGGATAAGCAGCCCCAAACATGTTCCAAAGAAATTCAAGCTGTCCTGCAGGCTCAGGGAGCATCAGTGTCAGCGCGAACTATCCGTCGACATTTAAATGAAATGAAACGCTATGGCAGGAGACCCAGGAGGACCCCACTGCTGACACACAGAGACATAAAAAAAGCAAGACTACAGTTTGCCAAAATGTACTTGAGTAAGCCAAAAGCCTTCTGGGAAAAAACGTCTTGTGGACAGATGAGACCAAGATAGAGCTTTTCGGTAAAGCACATCATTCTACTGTTTACCGAAAACGGAATGAGGCCTACAAAGAACAAAACACAGTACCTACGGTAAAATATGGTGGAGGTTCAATGATGTTTTGGGGTTGTTTTGCTGCCTCTGGCACTGGGTGCCTTGACTGTGTGCAAGGCATCATGAAATCTGAGGATTACCAAAGGATTTTGGGTCGCACTGTAGGGCCCAGTGTCAGAAAGCTGGGTTTGCGTCCAAGATCCTGGGTCTTCCAGCAGGACAATGACCCCCCCCAAACATACGTCAAAAAGCACTCAGAAATGGATGGCAAAGAAGCGCTGGAGAGTTCTGAAGTGGCCAGCAATGAGCCCAGATCTAAATCCCATTGAACACCTGTGGAGAGATCTTAAAATTGCTGTTGGGAAAAGGTGTGTCCTTCCAATAAGAGAGACCTGGAGCTGTTTGCAAAGGAAGAGTGGTCCAAAATTCCGGGTGAGAGGTGTCAGAAGCTTATTGATGGTTATAGGAAGCGACTGATTTCAGTTATGTTTTCCAAAGGGTGTGCAACCAAATATTAAGTTAAGGGTGCCAATACTTTTGTCCAGCCCATTTTTGGGGTTTTGTGTGACATTATGTCATATTTGCTTTTCTGCCTCTGTTTTATATTTGTTCCAATACATACAAAGGGAATAAACATGTGTATAGCAAAACATGTGTTAATGCAATACCTTTTTTGTGTGAAATACTTGATTTTCAGGAAAAATATCAAGGGTGCCAACAATTTCGGCCATGACTGAAACATATATATATATACACACACACAACACACACACACACACACACACAGTGTGTAATATATATATTGAAATATATTGAAAATATGTATAATTTTTATATATATATATATTTTTTTAATATATATATATTTATATTTATTGATTGACTTTGCTTGTTTTATTCATTATTTTTTTCTTTTTTAATATATATATATATATATATTATATATATATATATATATATATATATATATAGTGGCTAAATGGTTAGCACTTCCACCTGACAGTACTAGGGTCATTGGTTCGAATCTCACCCATGGCACCACCTGCCTGGAGTTTGCATGTTCTCCCTGTGCCTGCGTGGGTTTCCTCCGGGTACACCGGTTTCCTCCCACACTCCAAAGACATGCTGGTATGGTAGGTTAATTGGATCCTGTCTAAATTGTCCCTAGTATGTGTCTGTATGAATGTAAGTTAGGAACCTTAGATTGTACGCCCCTCAGGGGCGGGGACTGATGTGACTGTACAATATATATATATATGTGTAAAGCACTGCGTAAATTGACAGGGCTATATAAGTACCTGATATATATATATACACACTATAAAATATATATATATATATATATATATATATATATAAAAAAAATTTAAAAAAAAGTATTTATTTATTTAATTATTGAGGCACATTTATGCTTTTAGCACTGACCATATTTTTATTATCAGGGGTCTTCAACTACATCTGGCCCATTACATGATATTTTTCTCCCTGCAGCTACTTTCAGTGGTATTTCATGGTAAAAAAAAAAAAATGGATGAATGGAGTTTTCACAGAGATGTCATTTGTGCCCACTGATCATCACGTAAGAATTGTTGTATGCTGGAGACAGGGATCCTGCGCTCCTATCTGAAAGGATGAGGAGATACTTCCTGCCCTAGGTGACAATGCGGCTCCTCCATAATAAAACACAGTGAGCGTTGTCACCCTAGGAGAGGAAGTGTGCTACTGGTAGGATCACCAGGTAAAAATAAAAGGCTGATATCGATGGGAAAAAAGAATAAAATAAGAGGCTGAACAAAGAAACTTTAAGGAAAGTCATGAGGTTCAGACACCAGATTTTTTTTTTTTTCTACATACAAAAAATGGCTGTTGGGTAAATGTCCACCAATGACTATGAACACTCGGGTGCGGTGTACTCTCTGCAGTGATGTTTCTCTATGTCTTCTTGGTATAAAACTTACATTCCTTGAAGTAGTCCTCTCCATAGCTCTCCTTAATATGTGTCGGCAATTTTCCCCACAGTCGTGTTATATTATTGATATGAAGATCTACGTCAACGGCTGACGCGGTCTTGAAGGCTCCCGGCTCAATGATAGAAACCTTCACACTGAAATCTCGCATCTCCCTCCTGGAGAACAGAAACAATACAAATGCTGGGAAAGGTTTCCTAGAAATACCGAAAAATGATTTTGGATTTTATTCCCCCCGTTCTCACACCTGTACATCGTCTATGGAGCGGAGCAATTTTTACATTTCTTACATCTTTTTTTTTTTTTTTTACTTTACCTTTGTCATTACTTACACTGATATTAAAGATATTATTACCTGCTCTGCGTAATGGCTATGCGGGTACTTGTGCAGGCTCAGTCCAGAGCCCTGCTGCCTGCATCCAAAGACACAGACAGCGGGGCATGGCCCCACCCCCCCCGTTCTCTCTTCACATAGTTTGATTGACAGCAGCAGGAGCCAATGGCTCCCACTGCTATCAGTCTTCCCTGTGAGGAGAAACATAGCTGGGAGAGCCGCTGCTCTCATACACAGCACTGGATCACAGTGGGGCTCAGGTAAGTATAAAGGGAGCTGGGAGAGTTTGCATTTAAAAAAAAATGTTATGTGTATATATATATATATATATATATATATATATATATATATATATATATATATATATATATATATATATATATATATATATATACACACATATATACATACACACACACACACACACACACAGTGAGGAACAGAAGGATTTGAACCCCCTGCGATTTGGCAAGTTCTCCCACTTAGAAATTATGGAGGGGTCTGAAATTCACATTGTAGGTGCATTCCCACTCTGAGAGACAGAATTTAAAAAACAATTCAGGAGATCACATTGTATGATTTGTAAAGAATGTATTTGTCTCGCCGATTGTTATGGTAACTCACCTTAAACTGTCTGAGAAAGCCTCCAGGCCGAACTTTGAAGGACAATATCCCCCACCGATAAAAGCCAATCTCCCAGCGGCACTGGATACCACGACAATGCGTCCCCGGGCTTTTCTGACAAGAGGCAGCAAGCGCACCGTGACATCGATCGTCCCAAGAAGATTCACATTCAGAACCTTGGAGAAGTCTTCTTTTGTTTGCCACTCATTGGGTGCCAGAGCAATGGTAAAACCAGCATTGTTCACCAATCCCCAAAGCCCTGTGAGCCACGAAACAAAGTAACGTCAGTACTGGAATCAGAAAACTAAACACTTTGTAAATCTATAGGAATGTTCCTAAAGAAATGACTTCCTATGAGAGGCAGACAAGAAAACTTCAGAAAATTGTAGGAGGGTCAAAATGTGCCATAAACAGCAAGAGGGGCATAAAATGTGAGTGCAGGGGTCAGGAGTGCGTTAGGCACAGGTCAGTAGATGGGGTACAACAAAAAACCGCCTCCCTCCCAAAGCCAAAATCCCCCCTCCCCCCCCCCCCCCCCCCGGTACATATCCCCTTCCCAGTACAGATTTTCCCCTCCCACTATTACACATCTCCCCCTTTCACCAGTAAAGCTCCCCTCCTCCAGTACAGATCTCTCCTCTCCCTAGTGTACATTTCTCTCCCCTCCCCCAGTAGAGATCTCACCTGTCCCAGTAGAGATCTCTCCTTGCCCTAGTACACATTTCCCTCCCCTCATCAGTACAGTTCTCCCCATACCACCAGTACAGTTCTCCCCATACCACTAGTACAGGTCCCCCCATACCTCCAGTACAGGTCTCCCCATACCACCAGTACAGGTCTCCCCATACCACCAGTACAGTACAGTTCCCCCCATACCACCAGTACAGTTCCCCCATACCACCAGTACAGTTCCCCCCCATACCACCAGTACAGGTCCCCCCATACCACCAGTACAGGTCCCCCCATACCACCAGTACAGGTCCCCCCATACCACCACAGTACAGGTCCCCCATACCACCAGTACAGGTCCCCCCCATACCACCAGTACAGGTCCCCCCATACCACCAGTACAGGTCTCCCCATACCACCAGTACAGTACAGGTCTCCCCCATACCACCAGTACAGGTCTCCCCATACCACCAGTACAGGTCTCCCCATACCACCAGTACAGGTCTCCCCCATACCACCACCAGTGCAGGTCTCCCCCACACCACCAGTACAGGTCTCCCCACACCACCAGTACAGTTCAGTTCCCCCATACCACCAGTACAGTTCTCCCCCAATACCACCAGTACAGGTCCCCCATACCACCAGTACAGGTCCCCCATACCACCAGTACACACTACAGTCCATTTAACATGATTTCCTATGGGACACATTCACATCTCTGCATCTCCAACCAGTGCGTTTTTTGGAAAGGGTCAGGGACTTTTTTAAACGCAGCACGTTGCATTTTGGGTCTATAGATTTCAATGGAGACGCTTCAGAAAATCATGTTGTGCGTTTTTGCTGCGTTTTAATCTCCCTAGCAACAAGAAAAAAAAAAAAAAAAAACGCATAAAAAAAAAGGCAAAAAACACAAAACACACTGCAGAAATGGATCAAACGCAAACTGCATAGGTGTGAACCTAGCCTTAGGTAGGCAGCCGGGGAGCGGTAAAAGCCCAGCTTGGCTGCCTGTCTGAAAGGCATGTCCTTGAATGGGCATTTTTTTGCCAGAATAATAATAATTACAAAAAAAAACTAATAGTGGCAATCTAAGAAATGTTATTTTCCTTCTCACATTTCAATAAGAAAAAATAAAAACTAGAAATGGGTGATTTTCTGTAAAGCATGTATGGGAGAAACAATCACCTTCATGTCCAACAATGCTGGACACCCACTGGGCAGCAGAGCTCACACTTTGGCTGTCGCTGATATCCAGGATTCTTGTTCTCAGCCTGCTGGAGGTCTCTTTCTTCAGATTTTCGGCACCTTTCTCCGTCAGACAAGTGGCCAGGACCTTCATCCCACGTTTGTCCAGCTGCTTGGCCAGCAAGTTCCCGAATCCAGTATCGCATCCGGTGATGAAGACGTATTTGTCGGTGAGATTCTCCAGGATCTGGCTCTGCCTGTACCACCTGTACAGAAGAATCACACCCAACGCCACCAGAAGGGGGAGCCACATGATGCACATGGGTTCTGTAATAAAATATATTGTTGCGGCTGAACTCCTGGGTGATACAAAAGTGGCAGATGAATGCTACTCTATGATCATTCATATATCATGAAATGCAAGCAATGTAAGTACCTGAATTTGGCTACAGTCCCTGTACAGCACAGACTAGACTGCTGGATCTTGCCGGCAGAAAGCTACTGTTGCATAGAGTCACGATCGCAAGATCGCCGCCACCAACATGCGACAATCTCACGATCACTGCCACCAATATGTCACGATCGTGGCATCAGACCCCAGACCTTCTCACCAAACTCGTGACCGAAGGACTGGCCGATCCAAACCGCGATGTGACGTGTGTAACAATAGCACGCCCAGCCGCACCCTGCACAAAGATTTTCCAGCTAATGGACTACAATCTATGTACCTGCGACCTGAGCGGTTGTTACTGGGTCAGGTTAATTACGCAATTAACCCTTCACACTGCCACCACCTCCTTTTTGTACAGAGAAAGAGGAAACTCGCGTTATCAGTTATAACACTATAATGATTGAAATAATCGTCTGTATACAACGGTCCGCAGGCCGGTTATACAGAGGTTTAAACCAACAGTAGCATCTCTTCAAAAGGCAGGAATTCGTAAATTGCAATTAAGGGCTATAGAAACATTTTAACACTTTCAGAAAGGAAGATTTATTACTAAAAGGGTCAAACAGGTGCAATAAAAATATTTACAGAGAAGATATCACACACACACCAAAGAGATAACAGGGAGAAGTTAAAGGGTTTAGGTACTTGCCATTTAAGCCTTTGATGTAAGCAGATCCAAGTTTTTTTTTAGAGCAGAATGGGGCTTTGATCTCCCGCTGTTACGATGGAAAAATGGGAGATGTCTTTAATTTAACTTACTTAGGCCTGCTAGCCTGTTTTTAAAATGTCCCAGCAGGGGGGTGGCTCTGAGTAACTGACCAATACTCTGTTTAGGGAGGGATCGTCAGGCGGAACCCTAAATTGGAACCAACATTTTTCATAATTCATATTCTGGTCTATAACTTCTCAGCTGCACGAGCGACAATCTACCCGCGGGTATATTATTATGCAGACAAGTCCGAGGATTATCTAAATATGAATTATGAAGTTATGTGTTGCACGGTTTACGAGTTCTATGTTTCGGCTCCCCTGATGGTCCAAGATAATTTGAATGACCCATCAAACTGTTCACCTGCTCCTCGCCAATCTGACGGGATGTCTGGTTTTTATGTAAGTCTCTCATATTCCAAGATATGAGACATAGTGGAAAACTAGATTTGAGAAGTGTTTGTCTAATTCTGCCACCTACACTGCTAGGTTTTATGAGGTTAAAAACTCTTTCAATTCCTGGGAGAGCTGCCTTATCTCCTTACGAGGTGTGAGATTACACAGGTTCTTGGACAGAGAGACTCTGGCTCTCTGGGAAAAGCTGCCCTTATCTTGGCTTAGGTGAGAAAGGCTACAACTTCCGCAGACCACTGGGCACCGAACTAGGGATGCCTTGCCCTGCCATTGACCCATAACCAGTACACACACATCTGTCACTGTGTGTAATGGACCACCTGACAGCACCTCTATCAGTCCCCTGATAGAGCCTCCCCAGAGTGTGGAGTCTAAGTACCGGAGCACTTGTTCACCAGGGCCCCTGATGGTGGGGATGGACTTGGAGCGCTCCGGGACCAGGTCGCAGCTACCGGGTTTCTCTACCAGAGGTAGAGGAGTCTGCCAGAGGCTCCTGTGGGTTAAGAGTCTGATGTGAGGGAGCCCGGGGATCCCTGAGGGATGGATAGATGGATGAGCAAGATCAAACAGGCCGTGTCGGTAACTAGCGGGTCGGTGCAGTACAAGACGATAGGCAAAGGATAGTCGGGTCACATGCAGGGTCAATACCAGAAGATCAGATCTATAAGGGAGCATCCAGGAGCAGAGTCAGGCAAGCCAAGGGGTCAGGACAGGAGAAGGCAACAAGGTCAGACAATCCAGATCAGAGTACTCACAACACAGGCAACAGGATACGCAAAGACCATTCGGCAACAAGTGTCTGTTCAGGGCTGGTTTAAGTAGCCTGCCCTGCACCTGACAGGGGCAGCCTAGGTCCTAGTGCCTGCCCAGTACTGTCATAGACGACGGGTGCGCTGGGTCCTAGTGCCCTGCTGCCTGCATGTCTTGACAGACACCTACGCATATGTAGACCCATGCGTCGCGATGGTCCCTGACATTGCCCCCCCACCTATGGGCATCCTCCGGGTGCCCAACTGATCTCTCCTCCGCGGGTGGCTACGATGGAACTCCCGGATGAGTCTAGGGGCATGGACATTTTGGGCTGGTTCCCAAGAGTTCTCCTCTGGACCATAGCCTTTCCACTTAATCAAGAACTGGGTCTGGCCTCCCCTCCTTCGACAGTTTAGAATTGCTTCTACTTCAAATTCCTCTTGGTCCTCAACAGTAATGGCTTCAGGGGATCTGGGATTCCCGGTCCGGAAATGGATCTGAGACCACCGGTTTCAGATCGCTGCCAAATATGGAACAATCGTGGCTGACCCCAGACCTCTCAAAACTTTCGTGACCGAAGGACAAGCCGATCATAACCGCGACTTTGTTAACAATAGCACCACCAGTTTGACCTGACAAAGATTTTCCAGCTAAACTAAATTATGTACCTGCGACCTAGCGGTTCTTACGAGGGACAAAGTAGTTTCAGGTTAATTGTTAACCCTTCAGCACAGCCACCTTATCCCCTGGTTGCAGCAAAGAGTTCCCCCCTTATCAGTCTTGTCAAACACTATAATGATTGAAATAATCGGGCTGTATAGCCATGGCCTCCTGCAGTAGTTTGTGGTTATACAGAAAAAAAACCAACATAGCATTGGGTTCAAAAGGCAGGAACTGTCTAAATTCAGCAATTAAGGGCTATAGGCATTTTAAGGTTCAGAAAGGAAGATCCGTATTTGCAAAAAGGGTCAAACAGGCGCATTGCCCTGTGGCAGAGAAGATTTGCACATTGACACCGAGATTCTGCTAGGGGCAGAAGTTCAAAGGGTTTAGGTACTTTTGCCATTTAAGCCTTTGATGTAAGCAGATCTCAAGTTTTTTTTTAGAGCAGGTCTGGGGCTTTGATCTCTCTGTCTGCTGTTACGATGAAAAATGGGAGGATGTCTTTAATTTAACTTACTTAGGCCTGCTAGCCTGTTTTTAAAATGTCCCAGCAGGGGGGTGGCTCTGAGTAACTGGACTCTGTTAGGGAGGGATGTCAGGCGGAACCCTAAATTGGAACCAACATTTTTCATAATCATATTCTGGTCTATAACTTCTCAGCTGCACGAGCGACAATCTACCCGCGGGTATATTATTATGCAGACAAGTCCGAGGATTATCTAAATATGAAGGATGAAGTTGTCTTGCAAGGTTTAAAAGTTCTATGTTTCGGCTCCCCGATGGTCCGAGATAATTTGAATGACCCATCAAATGTTCAGTATGACCCCTGCCAATCGACGGGATGCTCTGGTTTTTATGTAAGTCCATCATATTCCTAAGATATGAGACATAGTGGAAAACTAGATTTGAGAAGTGTTTGTCTAATTCTGCCACCCAGGCCTTGTTTTGAGGTTGGCTTGTTTCAATCTGGCAAGAGCAGCCTTATCTCCTTACGAGGTGTGAGATTACACAGGTTCTTGGACAAGAGACTCGCTCTCTGGGAAAAGCTGCCCTTATCTTGGCTTAGGTGAGAAAGGCGTTTCACAACTCCAGCAGACCACTGGGCACTCGAACTAGGGATGCCTTGCCCTGCCATTGACCCGTAACAGTACACCCACATCTGTCACTGTGTGTAATGGACCACCTGACAGCACCTCTATCAATCCCCTTTCGTATCAGAGCCTCCCCAGAGTGAGAGTCTAAGTACTTCTGGTAACTTGTTCACCAGACCATGTCCCCTGATACGTGCGGATGGAGTTTTGCACGCGATCCGTTTGACTAGGTCGCAGCTAAGGGTTCCCTACCAGAGGTAGAGGAGTCTATCCAGCTCTGTGGGTTAAGAGTCTGATGGGGGGATCCCAAATGGATGGATGAGCAAGATCAAACAGGGCCGTGTCTGGCTAGTATCGGTGCTTTGAACAAGGCCTATAAGTGATGTGGAACGAAAAATGAGTAAAGAAGAGTGCCCACCTAGCTTGGCGTGGCCTTAGGCGTTTAGCTGTTCTTAGATATTCGAGATTCTTGTGATCTGTGAAGATCAAAATCGGGTGGGCTGCTCCTTCCAGCAAGTATCTCCACTCCTCCAGAGCGGTCTTGATGGCCAGTAGCTCTCAGTCCCCAATGTCATAGTTACGCTCTGCCGGGGTGAGTTTCCTAGAGAAAAATGCCACTGGATGCAGCAGTTCTTTTGGCCCTTTCCTCTGGGACAGAATTGATCCCACTGCGTTTTCGGATGCATCCACTTCTAGCACATATGGTAGTGCTGCGTCCGGGTGGCCCAGAATGGGAGCTGTGGTAAACAATCGTTTCAAAGTTTCAAATGCTTCCTGAGCTTCTGATGTCCATCTAAAGCGGACCCCTGACTTAGTCAGCTGCGTGATAGGGGAGACCAGACCTGAAAAATTCCTAATGAACTTCCTGTAGAAGTTGGCGAACCCAATGAATCGTTGGACGCCTTTTTTATCAGTTGGGATTGGCCATTCAAGAATTGCCACGACTTTTTGGGAATCCATTGCGAACCCCCGCAGTGGAGATGATCAGACCCAGGAAAGAAATGCTCTGCTGTTCAAAACACTTAAATCGGCCTTGGCATATAAGCCGTGTAGGCGCAAACGCTCCAGAACCTTAATCACATGAACTCTATGGGTGTCTAAGGATGGTGAGAATATCAGGATGTCATCTAGGTACACAATGACAAAAATGTCCAGGAAATCCCTGAAGACATCGTTAACAAAATGCTGGAAGGTGGCCGGAGCGTTGCAGAGTCCAAAAGGCATAACCAGATACTC